AATCTTGCGTGCGCTGAACCTCAATGCCAAGGAAGTAATGAAGAGGTCCAAGTTCTTTGAGCTTGAAGTCACGGTGCATGGCCTGAGTAACTTCTGAGATGAGAGTAGAAGAGCTGCCAGTGAGAACAATATCATCAACATAGACAAGGACAACAATAGTCCCACGAGAGCAGTGTCTGGTGAACAAGCTGGTATCATGAATGCAACACTTGAATCCAAGGCCCTGCAAAAAAGAGGAGAGGCGTGTGTAACATGCACGGGATGCCTGTTTGAGACCATATAGTGATTTGCGGAGCTTGCAAACATAGTGAGGATGAGTGGGATTTATGTACCCCGGGGGCTGCTCCATATAAATTTCCTTGTCCACCGTACCGTGAAGAAAGGCATTGCTAACATCCAGTTGATGAAGAGGCCAATCACGGTTGAGTGCTAAAGAGAGGACCAGGCGCACTGTTTGTTGCTTGACCACAGGACTGAATGTCTCCTTGTAATCAGTATGATAACCTTTTGCGACAAGACGAGCCTTATACCTTGAAACAGATTCATCAGCATTCCGTTTAATGCGATACACCCATTTGCAACCAATCGGAGTGCGGTTCTTGGGTGGTGGCACCAAGTCCCATGTACGTTGCTCATTCAAAGCAATAAACTCCTCATCCATAGCCTGACACCAAAAACTATTACCAGAGGCTTGGCGGTAAGTGCTAGGCTCAGTGGTAGGTAGGGTAGTATCAATGGTGGTAATGGTATAGGCTTTAGGTTTGAAAATTCCAGATTTGGCAAGGGTTTGCATGGTGTGTGTGTTTTGGGGCGGGGGTCGGTTAACCGGCTGTGTGTTTTGGGGAGAAGTAGGTGACGGTCGAGGGTGGGTTGGGGTACGGTTCTGGGGTTGGACCGTTTGTGGCGTGTCCATAGGGAGGGTATCGGGCGGTCGTCCGTGACTGGTGGGACGGGTCTGGGGTTGGACCGTCGGTGGGACAGGAGCATGTGAGCCTGGGCTTGGAGGAAAAATAGGGGTTATAGGAGAGGGTGACGGGAGGGATGACAATTTGGGATATGGAAACTGATCCTCGACGAACCGAACATGATGAGAGACATAAACTTTTTGAGACACGGGTTCATAGCATTTATACCCTAGCCTTTAGTGGTGGGGTGATATCCTAAGAAGACACAAGGAGTGGAGCGTGGTTGAAGTTTGTGGTGATTGTAAGGGCGAAGCCATGGATAGACTAAGCAACCAAAGGGACGAAGGTGGGTATATGTAGGAGGACGGTTATAAAGAGTTTCAAAGGGAGATTTGTTGGAGAGAGTTTTGGTGGGCATACGGTTGATAAGATAGTTTGCTGTGGCAAGAGCTTCGACCCAAAAGGTAGTCGGGAGAGCAGAGTCGTATAGAAGAGAAACAACCGTTTCAATGACATGACGGTGTTTTCGTTCAGCGACCCCATTTTGGATGAGGAGTTCGCAGTATAAGAATCATCAAATCGATACCAGCACTCAGACGCAGAGTGACCTCGTTTCTCGCAGATTTGGCAGGTTGGCAAATCCCGTGACGGTCGACTGTTTCCCTGGGACGGTCGACCGTTGTTCCTTTCTCCACGTCCGCTGTTGTATCCACGTCCAGGTGACGGTCGACCGCGGTAGCCTTCTCTACCGTAACCTCGACCGTTTGTAGCGAGAAGTGCTGTGCGAGGTTCGATGATGGTAGACTCAGTGAGGCTGAGTTTATTCTCCATCTCCAGGTTTATTTCTTCAGAGATCAGCCATCCAGAAAGCTGATTTAACGAAATATTGGTATTGTTCATGCGAATATTTTGCTTAAAGGATGAGTATTCGGTGGGAAGACCACGAATAACAGCATTCACCACATCACGTTCACGGATCTCTTCTTTCAAGGCATCGAGATCCGAGAGAATAGTTGCCACATCATCAAGGTATTGTGTCATAGTTTTGGTACCTTTACGAAAAGTGTGGAGTTTGTCCCGAAGCTGATAAATATGAGCGGTGGACACGGAATTGTACCGTGCGGCCAAAGCATCCCAGAGGGCAGCAGATGTGGTGAAGCCACGAGCATGTTTGTGAACGGAGGGACTGATGACCGCTAGGAGGCAGGCGCGGATCTGTGTGTCAACGATGGTCCAGGAGGTATACTCTGGATTAGGGACGATTTTATCGTTTTTGGAGATAGTTGGCGCCGGGGTTGCTTCATGACCATCAATCCATCCAAGGAGGAGATTAGCTGAAAGAGCTGTCTGGACATTGAGAGACCATGCCGGATAATTTGTTTCGGTGAGTTTTTCTGGGATTAAGTTGTGTAGACTCCGAAGCAAAAGTTTTACTCCGGAGGGTAAGGAAGCCAAAGGATCCGACGGGGCTGCCATAGTGGGCGGCGGTCGGAAAAAAGAGAGGCTAGGTTTTTGAGAGTCTTAGCTCTGATATCATGATACAATTTGATAATAACTTGTCTTATTGAATATTGAGAGATATGGCCCTATATATAGGGAATACAAGATTAATCAAAGTACAAGTAGGAAAGGAAAGAATAATCCTAATAGGAAAGGAAAGAAGTATTCTAATTTAATTATACTTCCTAATAGGAACAGATAAGTTGATCATGTAAATGAGATATTCTCATATGCCATTGCCACAAATATAATGGATGAAAGTGATGACATTAAACCAACATCACATGATAAATGTGGATGTAGACATGATTGACTAAAATTGAATGAACTAAAGTCACAATTTGACACAGCAAATACTAGTCGATCTCTACAGCAAATAATTAGTCTTTACCATCTGACTTAAAGTCACATTACTTTTTTTCTTATCTAAACAATATGTAAATACTGTTGTGAACTCGATACTTTATTCATCATACATGGGAGTATTTATACATACACGGGAGGAGTTATAATCTAGGTCAATAAGGAAACAATATATTCTAAATAGAATGAGAAATATATCTGCCATATTTAACACTCCCTTGATAAGAACGATCACAACGGGGAAACTCGGAGTGTTCCCTGACTCCTTGTGGTTCGGCTGAAGAACACCACAAGCAGAAGACCGCCACACTTCCGGAGGTTGTGCGCGGCTAGGAGAGAGAGAGAACGAGACAAGAGGTTTAGGGTTTTTAGGGTTTTACGTTTATTGATAATCTTCCAAGGAATGGATACATCTCTTTATATAGGGAAACCCTAATCCTATTTAACTATGTTTTCTATCCTGACGGTTCAA